CTCAGCAAATTCAAAAGTTGAAACAATATCGTGCATCAACTCAAATGACAAATGGAATAAAGCTGGAATTCAACAAATCAGGAATCTCTACATCATATGGAAACACATGGAGACTGAACAACATACTTTTGAATTAACAGTGGGTCATAAAAGGAATCAATACAGCATATCAAAGTTTATGGGATGCAGCAAAAGCAACGTTAAGAGTGAAGTTTATAGCAATCAGTGCCTACATGAAGAAACTGGAAAGGTACCAAATAAATGAGCTATCAGTGCATCTCAATGACCTAGAAAAACAACAACAAATAAAACCTAAAATTAATAAGAGAAATTATTAAAATTACAGGAGAAATAAACAAAAATGAAACCAGAAAAACAATACAAAAAACCTATGAAAAGAAGAGCTGTTTTTTGAAATAGAAGCAAAATAGACCCACCATTGGAGCAATTAACCAAAAAAAGAGGGAGAATACCAAATCAATAAAATCAGAGAAGAGAAAGGATATGTAACAAAAGACACCATAGAAATAAGACTTATCAGGAATTATTACAAAGTTTCGACGAAACTATAGATTCAAAGAATGAAGTAGGTCATTGCATTCCAATAACAGGATGCAAAAAATTCACCATGAGAAGGCAGATAATAATTAAACTGCATAAACCCAGAAATAAAAGATAAATCTTAAAAGCACAGTAAAAGAAAAAGATGATTTTTTTTTAACGAAGGAGCAAATTGAAGGTTAAGGATACATTGTTGGGGTGCATACAATTTACACGACTCTGAGAAACATCCTTCAAGTATTGAATGAAAATAGAGTTCATGTAGTATTTTTTCATATGGGCAAAATATCTTTCAAAATCCAAAATAAAAAAGGATTTTCATGTTACAAGTATTTTATGATTGAGATTAGCATGCACATATGAGAATTTGGTGTAAAATATCCCATTACATTTAAAAAGAATATTAAAATATTTCTAATCTCTTTAGCAACTTTAGATTATAATTGTAAAGGAATTATGCAAATATCTAAAGGTATACGCACTTCAGAAAATTTATAAAATCAGACGTTAGCTTACATTTGCTAAATTTTATAAAATGCAAAAGTAAAGGAATTTGGTGAAAAATAATTATAAATACAGAAACAGAAGTAGAATACAATGAATATAAAATGCATTCCACTTACTAGAAAAACTCTGAGAACATATATCTAGAGTGACATTTTGGGAAATTTCAGTGAATAATAACTTTATCGTTATAAAAATTAAGAAAGTTTAAAAATTTATGACTTTAAAGTGTATAAGATTAAACTTAACCTAACAGAGTTCAGAAAGACTGTACATTAATGTTGCCAGCAAAACTTACAAAATATTGAGCGATCTGATGACCTCACAGTAAAAAAAAAAAAAAATCAAGCAAGAATGTCACAGAGCAAAGAATGACTTAAATGAGGATACTACAGACACACATACCAGGGGGCGGTGCTGTGGCACAACAGGTTAAGGCCCTGGCCTGCAGTGCTGGATTCCTATAATGGTACCAGTTCATGTCCTGGCTGCTCTACTCCCAATGTATCTTAATGTGCCTGGGAAAGGCAGTGGAGGATGGCCCAAATCCTTGGGTTCCAGCACCTTTTATGAGAACCAGAAGAAGCTCCTGGCTCCTGGCTTTGGATCGACTCAGCTCCGGCCATTGCAGCCATTTGGTGACTGAACCAGTGGATGAAAGACATATGTATTATATCTATTTCTCTCTCTCTCTTTCTCTCTCTCTGTCTGTCTGTCTTGACCTCTCTCTGTAACTCAAATAAATGATTCTTTAAACAAAAAACCCACATATATCAATAACTTCAATCACAAAAGCAGAAAGGAGCTCACAATATAAAATAGATTGCTAATGCTGTAAGTAAAAGTAAATAACTTAGTAGGAGTAACAATAAAATCACTAGAAGATATAAGGGAGTTTGGTGAAAAAGAATACATTTCAATCAGGTTTAAAATTATTTGTAAAAAGTGTCTTACATCATGAAGGAATCATTCTACTTACAGTATATTATAAGAAAGTTGCCAGTGTTTAGAAATGCATAATGGAAAAAAAATAAAAAAGAAATAACAATTAAATAAAGAAAAAATAAAGAAAAAAGAAAAAGCAACAACAAAAAAAATGAAATGCATAATGGAAAATTTCACACATCAATGGCAAAATTCCAGAAAGTTAAAACTGATATGTGGAATCGAGTACACCATGGCAAGTACTCTGAAAAATTGTAGACATGAAACTTCCCAGAATTTACAGAACTTTGAGCAAGTTTGTGATACCACAATGAAAATGCAAACCAAGATTGCCACAGCTCATATTATCACCATTGGCTTACTATGATGTTTGTGAACAATACAGGGTATAACAACAGATGCAAAGGCAATGAAAAGAAAGGTACACGTTATGGAATAATGTATGTTGTGATTACTCCAACAAGAAATGAATAACAATGTTGTGAAAAGCAATAGAGAACTTTCTGTTGTACTTCATTGCAATTACATCTATATTGGAAAATATGAAAAAAAAACCAAAAACCTGATTGAAAAAAGATTATGCCTTGTTCTACCATATATGAAAGCACAGATTTCCATATCTAGATTATGCTTAGAGACACATTAAAAATTAGCCTCCTGGTGCTTACCACAATCTGTTCTTACACTGACTGTATAGAAAGAGGAGGCAGAGCAGGCTCTCCCTCAGGGCTCATCTTGCCTGGGCTGTATTGTGAATGGGGGGACAAGGAGTTGAGGGGACTGGCATCTGGCTTGTCCCTGTTTCCTCCAGGCTGAGTGGGGGCCACGAGGGCTGAAGTAGGTGCTTTGTGGCTTTGCAGCAGCCGAGCCAGGGCAGGGCGGGACTGCATCTCTGCAGGGAGTGGTATGGTTATCACTTTCCAGAAGTGGTGAAGATCATCAATGACAAGGCCACATAATGCTGCCTCGCCCAGTTCATCAGAAACCAAAAGGAGTTGAATGAGGACAAGTTGGAAAAGCTGGAGGAGCTAACAATGGATGGTGCCAAGGCCAAGGCCATTCTGGATGCCTCACGGTCCTCCATGGGCATGGACATCTCTTCCATCGACTTGATCAACATCAAGAGCTTCTCCAGCCACATGGTGTCGTTGTCTGAGTACCACCAGCTCCAGCTCCTACACACTTACCTGCGCTCCAAGATGAGCCAGGTGGCCCCCAGTCTGTCAGCTCTCACTGGGGAAGCGAGTCCTGAAGACACGGGGTAACACACCAAAATACGGACTTATTTTCCACCCCACCTTCATTGGCTGAGCCGCCTTGAAGGACAAAGGCTGCATCTCCTGATACCTGGCCAACAAATGCAGTATTGCTTCACAAATAGATTGCTTCTCTGAGGTACCCACAAGTGTATTTGGGGAGAAGCTTCTCCAACAAATTGAGAAGCAGCTGTCCTTCTATGAGACGGGAGAGATTCCACGGAAGAATCTGGATGTCATGAAGGAAGCCATGGATCAGGCAGATGCTGCGGCTGTGGAGGAAGCTGGAGAAGCAGGAGAAGAAATGCTTGAAGAAGGAAAAGAAGGCCCTGGTGGCGCTCACCCTGGCATCTTCAGAGAACAGCAGCAGCACCCCGGAGAAGTGCGGGGAGGCGCAGGAGAAACCCAGAAAGAAGAAGAAGCAAAATCCCAGGAGGCTTCTCAGGAGAATGGGATAGAAGAGCCGTCTGTCTCTTCCTCCAACCCCAAGAAAAAGATATATTTTTCCAAAGAGGAGTTGGTTAGTGATCTGGAGGAGAGAGGGAGCGGCGTAAGCCCTTCCAAGAAGAAACCGTCGGCCCAGGAGGAAATGGCAAATGATGTGAAAGAGGTGGACACCAGGAAGGTCCCCCCAAAAAAAGAGGAACTTCTCTGCCAAGCAGGAAGGAAGCAGAGGCCGCCACCAGCAAGAGCAATGCCAAGAGAAAAAGCTCCATAAAGCATCCCAGGAAGACTGACTAGCCCGGACATTTCCTGCACCTTCAGGGGTACCCTTACCTGCCCTGTGTCCTCACCCCAATAAAAAGATCACAAAATGCTAAAAAAAAAACCATTAAAAATTAAACTCAAAGTTAGTCGCATGAACATCCAAAAAAGTAAATACAAAATGTTACCTAGAAAGGGTGAATAATTACAGTGGACTAACAATGTCTCTGAGAACCTGTACATGACAGTTTCCAGGAGACTTACAGAATTTTGAGATAGGTGATGACTTCACAATCAAAAAGTTAAGTACTCTGATCAAAGGTTAAGAGTACCAGAGTTGACTAAGGCTAAGATACTACAAATATGCACTTCTGATAGCTATAATTTCAAAGAAAAATATAAAGACTTAAAATGCATTCAGCTGTCATGAAAAACTAGTTATTACCTCAAAAATGGATAATTTTGTGGATGAAACATCACAAAAGGAGTGAATACAGGTGAAGTGGCTGAAAAGTAGATCATTACATTTATATTAAAAATTTAAAAGAAAAAATTTCAGCAAACATAACAAAGATCATAGCAGCTCTTACCAAGTTAGAGTAAGGATGCCTGGGGCAGTGCTGTGGTGCAGTGGGATTTACCCAGCATTTGGGATGACCTCATCTCATATGAGAGTGCCTGAGACTCAAGTCTCATCTATTCTCCACAGCTGACCCAGGGCCCCGCTTATGTACACTGGAAGAAGTGACAATGGCCTGTGTTCCCAGTGACCTCCTTGTTAAATTTAATGAAACCAAGTTCCTAACATTCTGCATGGTGGCATCTTGCATTTATGGAGTCACTTTCCTGCCTGTGCATCACAGGACCAATGGAAATGTCAGGCTGACTCTGCAGGTATTTCCATCTTGGCCTCCACTGCAGGGCTACTGGGCTACATTTTCTCCATAAGTGCTACCTTATTTTGGTAAAGGAAGTTAGAAATTCACTGCATGTGTTCTAGAATAAAGCACATTTGAAAAGAATAAGCCTTAACATATAACTTGTCTATTTGCTAAAGTACTGGGCCTGAAGACCAAGCTACACTATTTTCACACTCATATATTGCAATATGGCATTTATTTCAAGGTACAAATGGCATTTCTTCCTCTAAAGCTGTTGGAGACACACTCAAACCTGTACCTGTATTTATCAGTACTCCATTTCCTTTAGATTTTTGTGTTCCTCTGATTAGGACTTCAATTTGCCTGCTACTTATGCTTAATTGCACTTGCCCTTTTCTCCTCCTTTCCACTGGGACTTTCCAATTGTTTTGCTAATTTTTAAAACACACGAAATCCTCACATAAAACATTCTATTTGAACACTGAATACGCTTTAGTGACATCTTTTCCTTCTTCAAGAAGCTTCATATTTTTAATATGGTGAATGTTGTATGTTTTGATAGGTTGCACTATGTTTTTCTTTGAATGCTAAATTTAGAAATATTCTTGAGGCTAATGTTGCAAATTTTTTTTCATGTGGCCATTATGTCTGTCTTGTTATATACTTCACAAATACTCTTTAATTTGGGATAGAAGGTGTTAAATTTATAGATTAATTTTAAGGATAATTGATCAATGTGCCACAGTGAGTTGTCCCATTCATGGTTGGATATATCTTTCCAATTACACTTTTATCATCTTTTCTCAATATTACAAATATGTATTTTATTTTATATATTATACATACCTTATAATACACATATATCATATATATATAAATATATATATGCCAAGTGCTGTTTTTTTCATGGACTGAAATCACTTTGTGATGTTTTTCTGCAATACTGGGGATTTTTCAAATTTTCCTCATATATCAAAACATGTTGCATGCCTTGAATATACCCAAGTTTTGTCACACATATCCAACAATCTTGGAAAAAATTAAAACAAACAAAAAGAACTAGGCTCTCATATAAAAATAAAAATTCAAAGTAACTCAGTAGACATATCTTTAGGTTGGGAAGGTTTTTATGGTCAGAATAATTTTTATAATATTCATAATTCTGAGCATACAAAATTCCTATATTGAAAGTACAAATGCAGGCTGTCAAGGGACAGTGTAAGGGCAAAGATGATAACCAAGTGTCAAATTACAGGGCACTTGTGACCTCTAAAACCTGAACAGAAACCCCAAGTCAAACAGAACTTTTGTTTTTGCCTTACCCACCCCAGATGACTATGTTATTGGAAACAGAAAGTGGAGAGACCCCCTAGAAACAGCTGTGCTGAGAGGCCAGCATCCTGGAAGAGACCCTGCTGCCCACCTATTTAGAAAACTGGGGGGAATCAGGTCCCGGCAGGGAAGGAAGGAGGAACCCAGGGCAGCACAAACTACAGCTCCCGTCCCACACGCACCCCACACACGGAGCCCACATTCTCCCTAATGACCACCCCGTGCCCACTGCACAGTTGGGGAGACGCGGGGCTGCTGCCACACAGCTGCCGGGGAAGGCTCTGGGCTGAGAAGTCACTGAGAGCAGGGAAGGGGCAGGGCGTCAGGGGTCCCGGGTGCCAGTGCAGACCCCGACCCCCGGGTCTGAGGGGACCAAGGGAAGTGCTGGGCCAGCGGCAATATGGCACCACAGATTCGGAGACGACCTCTGGGAGGCCCGCGTCCTGCCAGCTTCTCCCAACACCTGGGCGCACACACTCACCACGTCGCGGTTTTCAGCTCCAGGTGTCCAGCGTCCCCCGGTGATGAAGGTGGAAGCCACCGAGCCCGACTTTGCTTGTGCCAATATCTTGCAGGGTTTCTCAGATGTTCTCTAATAATTTGATGTTGTCAGGTCATAGATTTAGATCTTTGTTGAGTGGATTTTTGTGTAAGGTGTAAGGTAGGGATCTTGCTTCATACCTCTGCATGTTTAAATTCAGTTTTCTCAGCACCATTTGTTGATTAGAAGGTCTTTGCTCCAGGAATTGGTTTTAGTTACTTGATGAAATATAAGCTGGTTGTAGATGTTTGGATTGATTTCTGGTGTTTCTATTCTGTTCCATTGGTTTAGCAATCTATTTTTGTACCAGTACCAGACTGTTTTGAGTACAACTGCCCTGTAGTATGTCTTGAAATCTGGTATTGTGAGGCCTCCAGCTTTCTTTTTGCTGTATAAGATTGCTTATGCAAAAAAACAAAAATTGTCGTATCATAAACCAATTTGTGATGTCATGACCAACTGTGAAGTCATAAAAATTATTACAGTGCCTTAACCTATAATTGTGATAATAATCAATTGTGATTTCATAAATCACTATTATCATTTTATAATCAATTATGATGTCATAAAAGCATTATGACATATGCCAATATTGTGATAACATATTCATGAAATTGTGAGTTTACAAGGCAACCATTGTTTTCTCATTATGAATTTTTGTCATAAAAACCATTCTGACTTCAGAAACCTACCATTGTGTGTCATCTCAATTGCCACATCACTGTATGTCCTAAAATACAATTGTGTCATAATCCATGGTGATATTGCCAAAACCATTGTGATGTCATTATCAATTGGGATGTGAAAAACTACCATTGTGATATCATAAACCTCAGTTTAATTTAATATGTTACCAGGGGATAAATGTCACTTTTTGGGTAATTTAAATATGAGTTTTATAAAGCAAAGTGAAAGTTATGTTTCAAAAAACTTGAGTGTATATCATATATAAAATAGCATGCAATTTTGAAGACTTTGGGTATTCTGTATCTTTCAATCAAAACCTGTAGCAAATTTTTCATAGAAAGAACATCTGTTAGTTACCATAGAACAGGTAAAACATATAATTTTTTTCTTTTGGAGACTGTCTTATTTCACAAAGTATAATGGTTTCCAGTTGCATCCATTTTGTTGTGAAAGACAGAAATTCATTTTTTATTGCTGAGTAATATTCCACAATGTACACATAGCACATTTTCTTTCTCCAGTCATCAGATGATGAGCATCTAGGTTGATTCCACACCTTAGTTACTGTGAATTGAACTGCAATAAATGAGTGGTACAGAGAACTCTTTCATATGCTGATTTTATTTTTTTAAGATAAATTCCCGGCCGTCGCCGCAGCTCAACAGGCTAATCCTCTGCCTAGCGGCGCCGGCACACCGGTTCTAGTCCCGGTCGGGGCACCGGATTCTGTCCTGGTTGCCCCTCTTCCAGGCCAGCTCTCTGCTGTGGCCAGGGAGTGCAGTGGAGGTTGGCCCAAATGCTTGGGCCCTTCACCCCATGGGAGACCAGGTTAAGCACCTGGCTCCTGGCTTTGGATCAGCACGGTGCGCCTGCTGCAGCACACCAGCCATGGCAGCCATTGGATGGTGAACCAACCGCAAAGGAAGACCTTTCTCTCTGTCTCTCTCTCTCTCCCTGTCCATTCTGCCTGTAAAATAAATAAATAAATAAATAAAAAGATAAATTCCCAGTAGTGACATGGCTGGATGATATGGTAGATCTATTTTCAGCTTGCTGAGGCATTTCCATACTGTGTTCCACAATGGCCATTCTAGCCTGCAGAAAATAGCAGATAGACCAATTACAAAGAAATGTTAACAGAGTTGCCATTATTTAGCCAGATTGGCTCTTCTGTGAAAAAATTCTGGTAAGAAACTCCATCTTTATTTGACCTAACCCACAGCTAACCTTGTAATAACAATTTTCCCCCAGGAAACCTAATTAAAAACAAGAAGCAGCAATATCTTAACCCTGAATCTACCTGGGGTGATGATAACCATTGGGGAAAATATGCAATAGACAAAAAATTTGAAAGAAAAGCTGGATAATGTGATGTTAGGGAATGTATATTTGAATCTACCTCAAAATTTACATTTTGAAGCCCTAACCCCAAGTGTGACTGTGTTTGGATAAGGGAGCTCTAAAGAAGTAATTAAAAACTAATAAGTCATAAGAATGCGGCCAGAATCCAATAGGATTAGTAGTTTTCTACGAAGAGAGAGCAGAGAGCTTGTCTGTTCTGTTTTCACACATTCATGGAAGAAATGTCATTTGAGGACATAACAAGTAAGATCTGTGTGCGAGCCAGTAAAAGACCTCTTACCAGAGAGTGACTCCACCAGGACCATTAGAAAATGAACTTCTGTTGTCTAATCCACTTAGTCTATCATAATTTTGTTTTTGGTAGCCTGAGAAGACTACACAAATGCCTATAGAGGACTCTGAAAAGTTCTAAACCATTCCTGTTAATCCAGCCAAACACATGTTGAATGCTATGCATGGTCCCATGGAAGAATTTAGAAGCCCCCAACTCTTTTTTCAAAGTTTTTTTAAAATTTATTTTTAAGGAATACAAATTTCGGAAATACAACTTTAGGAATATAGTGATTCTTCCCACCATACCAGCCCTCCCACCCACACTCCTCCTCCTCCTCCCCTCTCTCCCCTTGCCAAGCCAATTCTCCCATTAAGATTCATTCTCAATTAACTTTGTACATAGAAGACCAACTCTATACTAAGTAAATATTTCAACAATTTGCGCGTGTGCACACACACATACACACAGAGAAAACAGTTTGAGAACTAGTTTTACAGTTAACTCTCAATACAACTCATTGAGGACAGGGGACCTTCCTGGGGAGGTAGTTTTAGAGAGGTAAAGAGAAAGAGAGAGAGGGAGAGAGAATGAGAGAGCAAGACAGTGTGAGAGAGAGAGGTCTTCCATCCAGTGGTTCACTCCCCAGATGGCTGCAATGGGTGGAGCTGATCCGATCTGAAGTTGGGAGCCAGGAGTACTTCTGGGTCTCCCATGTGGGTTCAGGGACCCAAAAACTTGGGCCATCTTCTACTACCATCCCAGGCCATAGCAGAGAGCTGGATTGAGAGGGCAGCAGCCAGGACTAGAACTGGTGCCCATATGGGATGCCAGCACTTCAGGCCAGGGAGTTAACTGTGCCACAGCACCAGCACTGAAGGGCCCAACTCTCACTTCTGGCTTCTGTTGAGGCTCTGCATGCTGGAATTAAAACCTAATGCAAAGTTGTAAACTACCTGCCTGTTTCCAAAACATACAGAAAAGCTCTAGGCACAGCTAGGCAATTCACAGTTTCCAAATATCTGAGGGAATTTCTTTTACATTATTAGCTCACAACTAAACTAGGCAAGCAGAAGCTTTAGTGGACACATATAACAAAGAATACAGAATTCGTTCAGGAAATTGTTTAAACAAACAATAACAATGACAACAACAACAAAACCATAGGGATAGGGGAGAATCTGACTTCCCACATTTCTTCCCATTTTCATATAATTTAATGTTTAGTTTTGAAGAGAAGTATTATAACAGAAGCAGAAATGTGGTAAAGATATAAGAATGACCCCTGCACAAGAAAGAGGCAGTCAGCAGAAAGTATCCTTGAGGAAGTCTAGATGCTAAAGTTACTAGACAAATCAGTTGATTTAAATATATACAAAAAACTAGAGAAATTCATGTCTTAACAATAATAACAAAGTACTATGTTAATGTGTCCATGTATTCAGAATATCAATGAAAAGATGCAAACTAAAGGACAATTGGCATCACCTAATCTAAAGAATAGAATTAGAGGATAAAGACAAATGAACAAAGCGTAGGAGACCTGTGGAACATCATCAAGCATAACAAGATACAAATGGTTATTCCATAAAAGGAAAGGAGAGAAAGAAGTAGAAAGAATGTTTGAAAGAGTAACGACTAAAAATCTCCCAAATTTGATGAAAAACATAAATCTAAACACCCAAGAAACAAAACAGCCTCCTAGTGAGATAAAGTCAAAGAGATCCACATTTAGACAAATTATAGTCAAGCTGCTAAAATATAATGAGAAAAGTACAATCTTGAAAGCACAATGACAATACTGATCCTTATAAAATTATGAGCTGATTTTTATCCCAAACCATGGAGGCCAATAAGCAATTGATGGCATATTCATAATAGTGAAAGGAGCTGTATTTAGCTCACAGGAACTAGTAATGTAGTGATTCTTCCTTTTCAGAATATCATGGATACATGTCATTACTCATTTTAAAGGTATTATATTCCAGGGTGTGCCACCGCATGATTTTCAAGAGGGAATAAAAATAAAACTTTCGGGGCCGACGCTATGGCATATCAGGTAAAGCTGCCACCTGCAGTGCCAGCATCCCATATGGGCGCCAGTTTGAACCCAGCTGCTCCACTTCCAATCCAGCTGTCTGCTATGGCTTGGGAAAGCAGCAGAAGACGGCCCAAGTCCTCGGGCCCCTGCACCCTTGTGGGAGACCCAGAAGAAGCTCCTGGCTCCTGGCTTCAGATCGGCACAGCACCAGCCACTGCAGCCAATTCTGGAGTGAACCAGAGTATGGAAGTCCTTTCTCTCTCTTTCTGCCTCTCCTTCTCTCTGTGTAACTCTTTCAAATAAATAAATAAATCTTTAAAAATATACAATTAAATGATAATTAGATGATTACAAAAGGTCAAAATGTTAAATTCAGGAAACTTCAGTATAATTATCACAAAATATTAAAGAAAAGTGTATCAATAATTATACTTGCTAATTTCAAAATATAAAGATGATTTTCGGTCCTTTAAAACTACAGAGAAGGCAAAGCATGCATCACCTTGAAAAGGAGAAGAGTTACATTGGTCTAAGAAAATGTGTACAGGTTGGTATCCTGAAGCATCGGGATACCCCACTGTTTGCAAGGCCTGCATCACATATCAGAGTGCCCTTTTGAGTCCTAGCTCCATTGTTTCAGATCCAGATCACTTCTAGTGTGCCTCTGATGGAGCAGACGATACTAAAATTCTTAACTGCCGGACACTGCCCACATGGGAGGCCTGATGGATTTCTTTGCTCCTGGACTTGGTATGGTCCAGCCCTGGATGGTGCAGTCATATGGTTAGTGAACCATTAGATGGAAGTTCTCTCTCTCCCTCTCCTTCCCTCTCTCTCTCTTTCTCTCCCCCTCCTTTTTTCTCCCTACATTCTTCTCTGATTTTTAAATAATAAAAAGAAAATGTGTGGGCCTACACTGTGGCGCAGCAGGTTAATGCCCTGGCCTGAAGCACTGGCATCCCATATGGGCACCAGTTCTAGCCCCAGCTGCTACTCTTCCGATCCAGCTCTCTGCTATGGCCTGGGATAGCAGTAGAAGATGGCCCAAATCCTTGTGCCCCTGCACCCACGTGGGATACCTGGAAGAAGCTCCTGGCTCCTGGCTTTGGATTGGCACAGCTCCAGCCACTGCAGCCAACTGGGGAGTGAACCAGCGGATGGAAGACCTCTCTCTCTCTCTCTCTGCCTTTCCTCCCTATGTGTAAACTGACTTTCAAATAAAATCTTAAAAAAATGTGAATATGAAAATTTCAGGAGAATGTGGAGAAATACCTTCTGGTTGGTGAGGTCACAATGATAAGCCCATCCAAGATGGTCACAGGTTCACTATGCTAGCATTGGTAGACAGTAAATTATTAATAATATACATGTGATGGTAATATTTTGAAACACAAAATAAACATATTATAACAATGTAAATTTACATACTGTAAATTTAAAACTAAATAGCAATAATAGTAGTTATAAAAAGATATAAATAAGTTAGTATGACTCAGCTATTATCTTTTGACTGTAAGCAACATATGAGTTTCATAGGATGAATTACTACACCAGGTCTAGAAATCTGATAAACTGTTCATGAAAGATGTCATTGTAAATCACACAATTTTCCATGATTTCATTATCACACACGGAAAAAGCCAACCTCAATGGCCACACATTCACAATGTTAATATTGGCAAAAAGTGTGATACTGATAGTATACACAGGCAGTAGTAATTAGGACACAACAAAGGTAAAAAAAAAATCACATTCCCTTAAAATATATATAATGTGATTACTTTCAACAGAATTGAGTAATTTGGTAGAAGCCATAATAGAATGAGTCTGGTTGCTCCACTTCTGATTTAGCTCCTTTATAATGCACCATGGAAAGCAGTGGAAAAGGTCCAAATGCTTAGACACTTACACCCTTGTGGGAGATCTGAAAGAAGCTCCTGGTTCCTGATCCAGTCTGGGTCACTATGGTGATTTGGGGAGTGAGCCAGTGAGTGGGAAGATATCTCTTTCTCTCTCTCTCTCCCTTCTCTCTCTCTTTCCACCCCCCTCTGAATTTCAAATTATTTAAGAAAAAGAAACAATAAAAATTTTGTCTAAGACTAAATGTAGAGCTTCAGGATTTGCAATCAAGAAAACATCACTCCTGAAGTCAATAAAAAACTTTAATACAATTGTGTCTAGAATTTCACTGTGAAATATTCCAAATCAGATGTTAAATTGAATCTCATCACAATCCAGATACAGTGAAGGGAAATGAACTTGAATTGTTAAAGAATATACTGGACATAGGTTGTACTGAAAAAACTGTGCACTTGAAAGTGGACAGGAATGCTAAGATACTTTCATTGAGTTAATAACCTCTCAGTAAAAACAGTAACCCACAATGCTAACACTTGCCTACAACTTGGGTACTGACTGATG